CTTCGTTATTCTTTAAATTCCTACGAAGCTTCAAGTCCTAGAATTTGTTGACAACATTTCACGCTTCTTTAATCGTTGCTTTTTTTTCTATGAGAGAGCCTGTACAAAAGTGGATATCATAGAGCTAGCATGGTGTTTTCAATCCATGAGTTGGTCCAGAATGATGTGTTTTCTCTATCACCTACCCTATGGCCAATTCGGTTGGTGATGATGTTTTGATGTTTCTACTTTCAAGGCTCTTTTGCAGAAGATGTTTCTACTTCCAAAACATGTGTACCTCTTTGAAAATTAAGAAGAAATGTGAGCAAGATAGTTTACACTTATAACATGGTATTAGAGCTATTCAATTTTAAGAAGTCTGATTAATTGGCGTAGCTTTCATAGTTACCGATCTTTCACCTAGACTAAATTTATTGGGAGTCTTCACAGCCACTATTTAAGTCGTACTGTCTGTACTGTTGAAGTCGTGCCTTGCCGTTGAAGTCATGTCAGTAAAGTCATGCAATCAATATTGCACATAATCCTATCCAACACAATATGTCAAATCATATTGAAATTGATTGACATTTTATTAAGGAGATATTTGAGAAAGGGATAGTCTGCATTAGTTATGTGCCCTCACAGTTCAATGCTGTACGAACAAAAGAACTTCACAGCTCAATGTTTCGTGAGTTCACATTCAAGCTGGGAATGGATGATATCTATTCCGCAGCTTGAAGGGAGTGTTGAATGAATAACCTTAATTATATCTGTGCAAAACCTAACATTAATTATATCACCTAATATCTAGAGATTTAGTTACATATATTTTTATGTATTATTATGTATTATTTAAGGATTTAGTTAGATTTATTTTTTTGAATTGTTATTTAGGGATTTAGTTAGTTTTTTTTGTATTAGAAAAGACACATGAATAAAGAATTATCATGTCTAGACTTTAATTGTTCTTCAAGGTTGAAGAGCCTTGTGGATTGCTTCTAGATCTTTATAATCCTTCCATGATCATAAAGGTCACATTGCTTCTAGATCTTTATTATCCTTCCATCTACCATATATTATGGCAGTGGCTGATCCTTATACTACATATTTCAACCTTATGTAAACAGATATCATTAAGCCTTTCAAACAGCTTACTTAATGAGGCAAAAAATGAGAAGTACAAGGATTTGCGTGCACTTCTTCAACTTCTTTCGAATCTTTGCTCAAAAGATCTGGTAAGAAATTTCTGTGATAGATTCTATGTTACATCTGTTATGATTTTGTTGACAATCAGAAATTGGTTATTGTAGGTTGATTTTTCATCTGATAATTCGGATGTGCCAGCACCAGATATTTCTCAGGTAAGTTGATTTGCAGCCTGTGAGTCAAAACAATACATTAATAATATGCTTGTACCATATTTTCAACACCTGTTTTTGCAGGTCGTGTACTTCGGTCTCCACATAATTAGTCCTTTGATATCTTTGGATTTGTTGAAATACCCAAAGCTTTGCCGGGATGTAAGTTCTTATTCTGTTGAAATAACGACAATCTACACCATTGTGCATAAGGATGATGTATACTCTGCTCCTCTGCAGTACTTCTCTTTGTTGTCGCATTTGCTTGAGGTTTATCCTGAAACTGTTGCAAAACTGAATCATGAAGCTTTTGCTCAAGTTCTTAGGACTCTGGACTTTGGTCTCCATCATCAGGTACATAAATGTTTGGCAATGACTTCCAGATAAGACATGAACTTATATTGTTGGTGTTTGGTTGATGGACTTGAACACATTGAAACCTTGATAGCGTGAGAAGCTTTGATATTAACATCAATCAATCAATCAAATAGAGTTATACTAATGAAAATGATCTGAATGAGACTTCCATCGCGTAGTAGCCAGAATGTTATTCGATTGGAGTTGGTGTGAGCAAATGCTGGGAAAAGATAATGAACTTCATTTTCATTTTTCTATTGTTTGGATTCAGTGTCACCAATAGTTGGAGTACATTGTAGCACCACAAAATGTTGGACAAAAGATAATTAACTTCATTTTCTTAGAGTTTGGACTCAAATTCAATGTCACAAATTGTTGGAGCAAAATCTAGCACCATAACGTTCTTGAATTTTCAAGTGCTTGTTCATATTTCATTCTCTCACTCTTTCCCTGATTTGGCAGGACATAGAAGTTGTTGATATGTGTCTCAAGGCTCTAAAATCGCTTGCTTCATACCACTTAAAGGAAATCGCTGCAGGTAATCTTGGATTGGACTCTCAAGTGATTACGAGAAAGGACGGAGGTGAAGCTGTGCAGGAAGGTGTTCTGAGCGGATTCCTCAAGTCTCTACTGCAGTTGCTTCTTTTTGAGGATTACAGGTAAACAGACACCTCAACTTGCCTATTATTCATGTGCTTAAATGTAATCTTGAAGACATTTTTCTGATCATATTTGTTGAGTTATAAGTTCTTTTTTTCATTTTTAATTTCATTAAAATTTTCAATTTCATTAAAATTTTCAATTTCAAGCCTCTAATGGCCTCTCATCACTATCCTCATCAAACCCATCTCCTCCGGAACCATCTTCCCCCCACCTGTTGCTACGGTGGCGATTTCACGACTCCCTGCTTTCAAACCCACCACCCCTCTCCTCCGCCGTCGCTGTCTCCCTCTGATCCTCTTCTTCAAGCTCTTGTTTTTCAAATCCTTCAATCTGCCCAATTTCAGCACTATTCTCAGTACCCAAGTCTTCGTACCCAGAAATTTCAATCGCATTACCAATTTCAACACCCAATCCCCAAAATCAGAAGTGCTTTTGTGAGCAAGAACTTCCCCAAGTCGTCCACCATACTACCATCTCCTCTCTTTTCTCCCGCATTGAAGCCCTCTAATCCTCTCTCCATCATGTTTCGTTGCAATCTCTCTGGCAAGTTGCCGCGAGTATAGTTCAGATATAGATGTCCATTTTACCCGGACCCGCCCCGAACGAAGAGGGGATTCTCCGTTTAGACAAGGAATGGAGGAGGGAGTGGGGAACATTTTTTCTCAGTTAGATAAATGGGGCTGGAACGGGATTATATTTCTCGTCCCGCCCAGTTTAGTATAAATATATTTTCAACACATTATATATATATATATAGAATATACATACGGGAGAGAAAATGACATTAGAGGGGATTGAATATAAAACCTCCAGCCTGATACCAAATTAAATAAAAGCTTAAGCGGATGGATTATGTTAGATTTACTTATAATAATCGTTTTACAAAAAACTGAGTTTCTCAATATACAAGCTTCCATCACATTTAAAGAACACAGGCTGACATTTTATTCTGTTCTATGTTGTACCAGCCCTGACCTGGTGGGGAATGCAGCCGACGCTCTCTTTCCTCTAATTCTATGTGATCAAGGACTATACCAGGTAATCTACATTAATAAAGTTGTCCCATACCATTCTATGAGCTTTGAAGTATCTGTTGATTTTTCTTTTAGCTATGATATGTGATTTAACATATGGTTGCTTTGAACATTTGTCCAAATCTGTGAATATGGAAGGTGGATAGGTCATTTATAGAGGCATTTATCAGTTTCTGCTTTTATGATCTCCTCTGCCATGCTCTTAGTTAAATCAATAATTGTTTTTTGTGACAGAAATTAGCCACACAGTTAATAGAGAGGCAGGATAATCCAACATTCAAGTCGAGGATTGCAAATGCCTTGCATACTCTGACCAGTGCAAACCAGCTTTCTTCTGTGCTTGATCGTATAAATTCCCAGAGATTTAGGAAAAATTTACACAACTTCCTTATTGATGTTCGTGGTTTTTTGCGGACAGTTTGATATCTTGATATAATCCGTTCTGTCATGGTGCATTCTCCAAAATTATCCTCAGCCAGAAGTTAGAAACAGATGCTGGCAGTGTTGCTATGAAGATTGAGCACTAGAAGGCTTCAGCTAGCTGCTCTCTTCACTCTTGCAAGGAGATGAACTACAATTTCTGATGCCCTTGTTTCAGGTAAGAACAAATTTAAAATTTGAAGGATTTTCTGCTGAAAAAGCTCTCAGTTGTTTCTCTAAATATGGTGCATTATTGGCTTTGGTTTGGTGTTGGAAAATAATCCCCATTTTATGTTGTTTGGCTGTGGTTAGGCTGGAATGTGATGCAATTTTAGTTTAGTTTAGAACATTATTGCAATTTGAAGGTGATTGTATAGTTTTGCTCTCTTATAGTTTTGTTTTCATCTCTACAAACTTGTAATTGAGAACAGGAGATTGAAAATTTCAAGACGATTCTTCGAGACTTAATTTGATCGCTTAGCTTAGCATAAGATTCGACACTGTAAAAAGATTGGTTGATCGCACATTTTCATAAAATTAATCTAGAAGAAGAGTTCATAAATAAATCTTCGCTTTTTATACATAGATATAGGACAAAAACGTTTGAAGACATTAGAATGGTGTTCTTTATTTACCTAAAATCTCTTAGAAAATGGTTGAACAGGTGTTGAACTCGATTTATGGTGTTACGTGTTCACTATGGTAGGTTGCAAGCACATTCAAGTTACATTCTACTTGAACCATATAAAATTTGAAAGAGTGAGATGTAGATGCAAATAAGCGGTAATGAGTCTCGCCTAATTGACCAACTCCGAATTGATTTTTTCTTCTCTAGAGCGTTCTTCCATTAACGTTTCCATTTGCTTTCATAGCTATCTTACCCAAAGTATGTTGGCTCTCGTAACCAATATCTTCGCCCTTTTTTCTTCTTCTCGAGTTTTTCTTATTTTATTTTGTGCCATTTTTCACCATTCATACTTTTATTCATTGAATCATTGATATGTCATTGAGTTTATTATATTTTTTTTCAAATAATCTACTCTTATACAAATTAACTTGTGACATGGTGAACGGTTCAATCTAATTTTGAAGTAGAATGTGTGGTATGGTTTAAATTTTGGACCTGAAAAAGAATTAGTAGTTTGGATCGGAGAACCGGCTAAATACATTTAGCCTTTAGCCTTTATAATTAATATGGAGATTAGAAATGTGCCATAAGTTGTTTACAATAGCAAACATTTTATTGCTTCACAAGTGATAGCAAATTCCACAGAAATAGATAGAGAGCTTTGTGTGATCAGTAGCCACTTTGAAGTGGATACCCACAAACAAATTGCTGCAAAAGGCCCAAAGGAAGAGTTTATTAGTGACATAGAATTAAGTTTAAACAAGAATCATTAAACTATTAATTCTTGATCATCACCTTAATGCAATTTATGGTGTAATTAACATCACTTGCTGATATTTGATGATGAACAACCATTCTAATCCTGCAAAAGTTTTGGTTTTGTATCATTATATAAATAAAAGATTAAATATTTTGCAACACAATGTTTTAAAATGTTTGAGGTTATAGAGGAGACCTTGATGAACTTTCTTGCATCAAAAGAATGCCATGTTCTTCCAAGTTCTTACACAGTGACTCTGCTGAGATTTTGGAGTCTTGTTCGATCTCAAGAAATATCTAATCATACAACAAAAATAATTACTATAACATGAAGTTAATGAGGCTAAGCGGAGCGTGAAATTGGGTGGGTGATCAAACAGAAAATATAATCTCATCTCCGAATCACGTTTAGCTAACAAGGACTTCCTCTCCCATTTTCGCTCCATTTAAGTGTAGGTTATTGCACGTTAAATTAATATCTCTAATTATCTCAAAGATTATACGTTTATATGTAATTGTGGTATTTATAATAATAAAGAAATAAAAAATTGTTCAGGGCATGTTTGTGTTAATACTCAGAAAGGTTCTTTAAAGAAATCTAAACCAAAGACATTATAAAATTTTGATAAAAATACTCACGATGTTTGTTTCAACTGATTTTGGATCCACCTTTAATCCGTTGATTTGGTTCAATTCACATGTATAATATTAACTCCATGAGATATAAGACGAAAAGAAAACGATAAATAATTGAAAAGAATGAAGAAAGCATATAATGTTACTAGCTAGTAGCTTGGCATTTTGATGATCGGTTGCAAGTTTTGGAACATTGTCTTTGATAGCAACAAGCGCAGCTGCACAAAGGATGCCTATCTGCCTCATTCCTCCTCCCAATGTTTTTCTTACCCTTTTAGCCTAATATTATACTCGACCATTTCAACCACTCTTATCAAACAAGAAATACTTTCTAAATTATAATTTTTTCTTATTAATTACGTGATCCATACCCAGAATTTAGACTAGGATTTAGAATTGAGATTCAACATTTATGGCCCTGACATTGTCCTCCGACATGGTTACGTTACTATAAAAACTATCCCCATAGATCAACATGAGTCATTTTAACATAATTTGTCATCACTCGCGTACGTTTTTGGAAAATTCAACATGGATCTTTTGAGTATAGTTATTTCAACGTGAATGCTTTTAAGGTAAGCAAATAGCTCTTTTACTTAAGTCCTTTGTAAAAATTTTGACCACATATTTCACATACGAATGGTTTGTTCATTTAAAGTGGCTTATATTGACATAGTGACTAAAAATTCAAAACAATACCTTGGCAATGAAGCTTTTGGAGCCGACAATAACTGACCCAACAGGTGCACCTAAACCTTTTGATAGACACACCTAACAGAGTCAAAAATAAAAGTTATGTGACGAAATGATGTATTGTTATAGCTAAATTTTCTCCCTACATTAAAGTTTAAAGCACATTACACTTAAACTTACTGATACTGAGTCAGTCGCTTGTACCAATCGATCAACTGAAACTCCAAGTGCCTATAAATAACATTTGAAAAATCTCGTAACTAAGTAATAAAAAAGGGATCAAAGATCAAATCTATAGATTATTAAATTATTATATACTCGAACTCTTGATACTATAAGGACTAAATTTCTCATCAAAGGCTCATCAACTTTCCTTTATATTAGGGAATACTCACGATTGAAGCGTTGAAAATACGAGCTCCATCAATATGAAGTTTCAGATCATGTTTCTTAGCTAACTCTCCAACCTTATCAATATATTCTACGTGAAGACATTTGCCACCAGAACTGCATTGTAATAAAGTTTTCACTCGTCATCCTTCAACTTTTCTTGCCACTAAAAAGATGATACTCATAAAAGCTTTTCTTACTTGGCATGTGTATTCTCTAAACAAATGAGCCTAGTTGTTGGGAAGAACAGCTCTCCCTTAGGATTTCTAATGGCAGCTTCGATCAAATCAATGTCCATTGTTCCATCATCTTTGTTCTTGACTGTTCTTGAATGGACTCCTCCAATGGTTGCAATGCCTCCATTTTCATAGACGTGGATATGGGAATTGTCTCCAAGAATCACTTCACTCCCTCTAATGTCACAATGTACAAGAACACTTATGAGATTCCCCATTGTGCCTGATGGAACAAATAAAGCTGCCTCTTTCCCCATCAACTTTGCCATCTCTGTTTCTAACTTGAGGGCTAAAGGATCGTTGCCCAACACATCGTCGTCTACCTCCGCAATCGCCATTGCAGCTCGCATTGCTTCGGTCGGTTTTGTGACGGTGTCAGATCGTAGGTCCACATTTCTTTTCACCATCTTAGTCAACTATATTATCAAAGAGTTCATTATAAGAACATTTAAATTTCTTTTGATAACCATTTAGTTTTTTTGTTTTCTACTTTTTTACTCCGTTTTCAAACATTAATTTTGTTTTACTTCTATATTTTAATTCAAAAAATTAAACACTTTAATAGATATTATTCGCTTTGACTTATTACATATTATCAGTTTCACTGTTTTTAAAATGCGTCTACTATGGAGAGGGTCTAGTCCTACTCCGACCAGTGTCTCGCACCGTCTAGTAACTAGTTATGATACCATTTGTAAGAGCTCAAGCCCACCACTTCTATTATTTTGTTATCTTCGGTATGAGCTTGTTTTTAAATAAAAAATTATATTTTTCAAAAAATAAGTCAATAGGATCGAGGTGCATAACGAAACATGCCTACATACAAGATAACAGGTAAAACGACGAGCAATCATCAACTAACAACAAAACGATAATAGAGACTACGGGTCGGTGGGAAGAAAACATAACAAAAAAAAATGAAGGTTTTGTTGTTCTAACCTTTTGGATAAGGAAATTACACGACCAGTATTTGATCCTATGAAATACCCACAAAGCTGGAGGAAATTGAGGGTAAGGTTTGAAATTAATAGCCCTTTTGGTGTTGCAATTTGGGTGGGATTTTGAATTATAATATATATTGAGAAAAGCTGATCCAACTTTGCTGGCTGCTCCACTTTTTCCACATAACAACTTCAAATTTTCTTCTTTTTTTTCTTTTAATATCTATTTTATCATGCGTTTTTGTGATGTATGATGAGTATCGTTTCACTCGATTATCATCTTTAATACATGATTTCATGCATGTTGTATATCATATGTCATGTAAACGGATTACTTCTCCGATATATCATATACAGATGCTTGTATCATTATATCATATATGTTTTTTTTTTTTTTTTTGTCCTGCAATATAAGTGTACGCTAATCCATAATCTGGCTTAGAGGGTACGTATACGAGCCCATCTAATGAGTCCATGCACAAGTACGCGAACCGTAAGCCCATACAACCTTCTCAAAAAAAAAAATACTATGCATAATTATTCGAGATTATTGATGTTAAATAGTTATAGATTAATGCCTAATACTATATATGATAGGGTAATGGGTAAGGATAAGGATCAATAAAGTTTGGCTTTTAAGGGCATTATTAGTGCATCACTTATTATATACTTTATACTAACTTCCAATCAAATAAGGGTAAAGTTAAATGTGACATTTATTTCTAAAACTTTATTGTATAAATATTTAAAAGATTTCCATTTATTCCTTGGATGGTCACTATTTAAATTTTTAAGGCTAAATAAATTTTTGAGTCTCAATATTTGAATTTCTTTGAATCCGAGCTTTAAACACTAAAAATAGACTAACGCTCGAGAACGAAACAATCCCCTCTAGACTACGCAACTTTTGAACACTTTGCACCTCGACCGATAGTCTACAAACACTTGAAAGAAAAAAATAAGGGGAAAAAAATATAAAAATACTCCGTAAATAATCTACTTGTAGATTTTCATGCATTCGATCTCTAATAGGGTTTCACGAGCTTTTCTCTAGGCTAGTTAAGGTCTAATCGTACAGCTATGTGAACTACTATATAGGTTTCAAAGTTCTAGAAACAACCCTCATATGTCACCAAGGCCTCTTTAGGGCCCTATAAAGAATCATGGCTTCAGCCATTGACTCGTTTGTACACGCAATAGAAGTATTCACCCCAACATCTACTTATGTAGTCTCAAGTCTCTTTCCAAGGTCGATTTACGAAATTACGATGTTAGCCTTAACCCATTTCTGCATGCAATAGAAACACTCACCGTAAGATAAATACATGTGTAGTCCCAAGTCTCTTTTCAAGACCGATTTATGAAATTGCAACATTAGCCTTGACTCATTTCTACACGCAATAGAAACACTCACCTTAAAATAACTACTTGTGTAATCCCAAGTCCCCCTTTTAGGACCAGTTTACATAATCTTGGTGTTAGTCTTGACTCAGTTTCTACATAGAGCTAGCTACCCATGTAGTTCGAAGTCTCTCCTCACTAACTCCTTTGGGCTAATCCAATTTCTGATTGCTCTCCATTCTAGGCCTCTGATCGCCACTCATGATTCTAGTATACTAGGTCTATTAGAAACGTACTGTCCTCAGTCAACATAAATATCGCTTTACCTCTAGTATCCTAGTCTTAACTTGGTTCACTCGTGCATGCTTTGTTAGAGAGAGATTCCTATCGATCATCTAATGCACAAAAATCATAATCTAAACATACAAGCAAATTCAATGGGAAAATAATATTCATCAATCGTATGGAGCACAGATCGCAATATCTTATCTCTCATTCTAACACGGTGAAAAACACATAAATCAACATGCATTGTAAATTCTCATCCGAGGGACATTTTGGTAATTTTTCTTAACATATCTAGCATTTTCATTGAAATAGCTATTCTAGAGTCTTAAACATGCATATCCTAAGACAAGATATGCTCACATGCTTACGCATTCTAGTGATCCCTACAAGTATTATTTAACATAGTCTGAGCCCTACTTGGTTTCAAAACCCTAGGGAAAAATTTGATCCGACAATCTAAAATCTGATCCCACCACAAGGAAAAGATAACACACGAGTCACTTCTTACACTTATTTTGTAAGAGCCCAAGCCCACCACTAACCGATGTTGTCCTCTTTCGAGTTTTCCCTCAATATTTTTAAAGCGCCTATGCTACGGAGAGACTTCCACACCCTTATAAAGAATGTTTTGTTCCTCTCTCCAACCGACATGGGATCTTACAATTCACCCTTCTTTAGGACTCAGCGTCCTCACTAAGACTCGTTTCCCTCTCCAATCGATATGGGATCTCATAATCCACCTCCCTTCGAGGCCCAGCGTCCTTGCTGGTACACTCGTTTTCCTCTCGATTATACCAATTCAGTTTGACAAGAAAGACCATATTTATTGGAACGATTATGTAGGGATTAGAAGTGTTCTACACACCCACAATAGGCACATTATTTCCCATATGCATATGCATATGCATGCATATATTGAGCATACGAAGATTAAGCAGCAACATTGCTTCATAAGTTCTTGATTAGTTGCCACCTGCCGCTGCTATTCCACTCAGAGTTTGCTGCAAAACCCAAAGAATTTGAGAAAGGTGTGAAAACTTATTCTTAGTTTCGTTTAATCGTTAATGTCTCGAAATCGTTTTATGAACATATGATTTCTTTAATAATTATGAATGAAAATGTAATTAACAATATAAATTATCACTATATAATTCACGATATTAAACCGTTTGAGAAATATAATTAGAATATTTAAAGAATGAGTCGGTAATAGTCACCTGAAAACAAGATAAAGTATACTCCACATCACTCGTTGAGATTTGATGATGAAGAACCATTCGAGCCCTGCAAGTAAAGTTTAATTTTTTTAAAAAATATATTAGATAAATAAAGAATTGGAAATAATGTTTTATTCTCCTCCTTAAGGTTTCCACACCTTTACGAAGCATGAATGCTCCGTTCTTCTCCCCAACACCCTTACAAAGATTGCTTTGTTCTCTTCCCCTATACTCTTACAAAGAATGTTTCGTTCTCCTCTCCAACCGATGCGGGATCTCACAATTCATCTTTTTTAGGGGTCCGGTGGTAGCGCTTCGTTCTCCTTCCCAACACTCTTACAAATAATGCTTCGTTCTCCACCCCAACACTCTTACCAAGATTGTTTCGTTCTCCTCCCCAACACCCTTACAAAGAATGTTTCGTTCTTCTCCCAACACCCTTACAAAGAATGCTCCATTCTCCTCCACAACCGATATGGGATCTCACAATCCACCTCTTTCGAGGCCTAGCACACCACTAGCAACTTTAAGACAAGTCTACTAGAAGGGTATGTTTGGTGTTTTTTTTAATTTGAAAAAAAAAAAAAAGCTTGTTAACAAATAACATTGATACTTTTGTTCTAAATTCTATGCTTTTTAAAAAGTAATTTGGAGTGTTTCCCAACCAAAGACAAAAAGCATTACAAACACTTTTTGCAATTGCTCTAAACCCCACTTTTATGCTTCTCCAAAGGGCATATGCAAATGTTCAACAGAAGTTATCCCAAACTGAAATTTGAGTATTAAAGAATATAAGAACATAAAAAGATCAAAGGGTTGGGATTTTAGGATAACCTTGTTTTGCCGTCTAGCATCATAAAAATGCCACGTTCTTCCAAGCTTTTACACACTGTTTCCACTGAAATTTTGCTATCTTCTTCCATCTCAAAGAATATCTAATATCATATCACACAAACATTTTTAAAATGTTTCATATTTGCATTTTCATCATATCATACTAATTTTATCGAAAGATACTCACAATGTTTGTTTCAACTGATTTTGGATCCACCTTTACTCCGTTGATTTGGTTCAATCCACCTGTATAATATTAACTCCACGAGATATAAGACAAAAAGAAAAAGATGAATAATTGAAAAGAATGAAGAAGATGATATAATGTTACTAGCTAGGAGCTTGGCATTGTGATGATCAGTTGCAAGTTTTGGGACATTCTCTTTGATAGCAATAAGCGCAGCTGCACAAAGGATGCCTATCTGCCTCATTCCTCCTCCCAATGTTTTTCTTACCCTTTTAGCCTAATGTTATACTCAACTATTTCAACCACGGATATCAAACAAGAAACACTTTCTAAATTATACGTTAAATTTAGATTTGATATTCAATAGTGTTATGTCATTTCAGGATATTTTGTCATTACTCACGTATTTTTTAAGAAAAATCTACATATCGTTTCAAAATTTTTCACTAAAATTCTTTGAATGGGTCACTTTCTAGGAAAATTGTCTGAATTAGTCATTTCAACATGTTTTGTCTTCACTCGATTTCTTGGAAAAAATTTATTATCTCACCCACATAGGATGGTTCAAAGCAATATCTCAAGATCGATTTCCTTTCAATATTGTCTTAGTTCATTTATGTACTTTCATTCGTTGAGATGCTGTAAAAAGTTGTTTTCGAATAATTTATCTATCCAAGTTTTATTTTTTTAAAAAAATGTTAATTCAAATTATTTTTTATGCCAAGAAAGATCTTAATTTAATTTATTTTGTTCAACCTAACTTTTTTTCTTTGACTAATACATTTTGTTAAGTCGATTTAATATTCTCTCTTTTTAAATATATATATTTTTTTTCCATTTCTCTAACTTTATTGTATTTAACTTCTCAATTTTTTATTTTAATTTCATACACTTCTCTTAACTTTTTAAAATTAAAAAAATTGAAAAAATCAAAACCATCGATGACTATAAATTCAAAACGTTACCTTGGCAATGAAGCTTTTGGAGCCAACGATAACTGACCCGACAGGTGCACCTAAACCTTTCGATAGGCATACCTAATGAGTTAAAAATAAAAGTGGTGAGATATAATAATGTATTATGATGAATGGATTTCTTCCTCTATTAAAATTTAGAACACAATACACTAACTTACTGATACTGAGTCAGCCGTTTGTACTAATCGATCAACTGAAACACCAAGTGCCTGATAATAACGTTTAAAATTCTCTGTTGTAGGGTTAACTTTTTTGAAAGAAAAAAAGGGTTACTTTTATAGG